AGAGTGAGATTCCAACTCAAAAAAAAAAAAAGAGTGGGCACTAGATACATGTTGGAAGAAGCGACAGGACCCTGCTCCTCACACGTGGCCCGGGGGCTCGTAACATTCCTTGCTATCACTTAAGCCAACCCAAGAGGCCAAGCAGGCATGCTTGCAACTTGGAGGCACGGCCGAGTCTCCCTGGTTCGGCTCTCACTGGGCCCTTCTGCACTGTCAGGGGTTCTGGACATGGCAGGGTCAGGAGCCAGTGCCGAGCCTGTCGCTGTAACTCTGGGAGAGGGAGTGTCTGAGGCTCTGGGGCACAGACTGGAGTCACTTCCTCTGCGGTCTCTGGGAGGTGTGATTGGCTGCCTCTGGGAAGGTGGGCTGCGGTAGGACATATGGGCGTGATGCTCCTGGCAGTCAAGGACCAGAAGACTTCCCAGCTGTGCTGGGCCTGGCTAACTGCTGACATGGAGTACAGTGGCACGCTGTACCAGCACAGCCACCTCCTGGTCATGAGAAAAGGAAGAAGGGCCATGTGTACCAATAGGGAGAGGCTGCCACATCCACTGTTAAATGCCAAAAGTGAGGGGCCACAGAGCTCCCCAAGGACACCAGGAAAAGTCTGCTGACCACAGCCCCTCAGGGGAGAGGAGGATGGCCTGGTGTCGGGTGCAGCTTGTGTGTGTGTGTGCACGTGCGCGTGCAAGCGCATCTGCATACACGCGTGTGTGGCTTTCATGCCTTTCTTTTTTTTTTGAGTTGGAGTCTCACTCTGTCGCCCAGACTGGAGTGCAGTGGCCGCTCCCGGCCACCACAGCCTCGACCTGCCGGGCTCCAGCGATCCTTCCGCCTCAGCCTTCCAAGTAGCTGGAATTACAGGCATGCGCTACCACGCCCGGCTGATGTTTTGATTTATTGTAGAGCTGAGGTCTCGCTGCCCAGGCGGGTCTCGAACCCGTGGGCTCAGGCAATCCACTCACCTCAGCCTCCCAAAAGCGCGGGATGACAGGCTGAGCCTCTGAGCCCGGCTGCCTTTCTTTTTTTTTTGATTGTAGAGACAAAGTCTTGCTTTGTTGTCTAGGCTGGTCTTGAGCTCCTGGTCTCAAGCAATCCTCTTGCCTCGACTTCCCACAATGGCCACCACACCTGGGCATTTTTTGTTTTTAACTACGTGCAAGTTTTACTTTTCTTTTTTTTTCTTCTTCTTTTTTTTTTAGAAAGTAGGATTTATCGAGAGTACATAAAAGCTCTACAGTGGGAAGGGACCCGAGGGGTTGCCGAACTTTACTTTTCAAATTAAAAATACGCAGTGGTGTGGTAGAAAGTCTTTGGGCTTCGGTGCTAGGCGCCCCCGGTTCTGGGTTCTGAGCCAGCCCCTTCTAACTCTCAGGCAGATCATGCTGACCTCTCTGACCCCATTTCCAGTTCCTAAACCTGGGAAAGGCGAGGGAGGCTAGGACTTCTTGGCCCCTAAGCCTTAAGGTGCCGGCGGGGGTGGCCCAGGCCGGGTGTCTTCTCTGGTGAGGGTGGGCAACGGTGTCTTCCCTTGGCTCGTAGCTTGAAAGGCTGAGAAACAAGATCCTCCAGGCCACCTTCAGCATCTCCGGGACCAAGTCCTTGGCCAGCGAGATCTTAGACAGTGACATTCTGGAAGCCCTGCAGGTCTGTCCCGGATCAGGCACCTCATCCCCGGGGCCACATCCCCAGGCCACAGTCCACATCCTGCAGCTGAGGATGGCAGGAGGCCTAGATTGAATTCAGGGGACCCTGTTCTCATCCTGGCTGTGTCACCTATTCACTGGGACCCCAGGGACATGGTCTCTGCTTGGGAACAGGGGACAAAGAGATCTCTAAGGCAGGGCCATGGCGCAGAGCTGAGCTGCTCTTAATAAAAGAGGAAGGGGTGTTCCGTGACCAGCAGCAGCTACTGCAGCCCTTCCTGAGCACCACAGGGAGGGGACAAGCGGCATGGGTTGTGGAGGGTCTCCCACGGCAGAAGCCCAACCCTGGCTCCGCCCAGCTTGGCACCCTCTGCAGGCCAGGGTCCTGACACAGACACCTCCCTCCCCGGCCTCAGCCTTCTGGGCTCTGCACTGACCAAGGGTCCCCAGGCAGAGGCCTCAGAGGTACAGGGCACTGTAGGAGAAAGAATGCAGGCTTTGGGGTCTCTGGGCAGGAGGGGGTCACTGTCTTGTGGCAGTGGAGCTGCGGGTCACTCAGGTACCCTCTGAGCATAGACATCGTCCTCTGTTGGGAGGATGGCACTCCCACCTGCATGGTGTCAGGGACCAGACACCCAAGCTCCGCGTGGGGCCGTGTGCTGCACAGGGTCAGTTCCCACTGGCAGCTGCTTCAGTTCCAAGACCCAAATGTCCTCCTTGGACCCGGCATGTGCCCATGACTTTCCCTGGGCCCCAGCTCCCTTCCTCTGGGGAGTGGGGTTGGCCCAGGTCAGCCATGCTCCTGCAGAGCTGTAGCGTGGGGGGGGGTCTCTCAGGCTGGTTACTGTTGTCTGGGGGAGGGGAAGAGGAGGGAGGAGGGCAAGAGGGAGTATAGGGAAGGAGCGGGCTGTTCCCACACACAGCGGCTGGGAAGTGCAGCAATGGCCAGAGAGGAGGCCAGGAGAGGGACCAGGTAACCTTCTCTCTGCATGGAACAGAAGGGACTTGAGAGACAGATGTGACAGCCTCAAAGGCCTCTCGGAGTCTGGGGCTCCTTGTGACTCTGAGAGCAGCGGACTTGGTGCAGGCTTCCGTGGGGCCCTGACCCAGAGGGCCTGTCGTGGGCGGCTTCTCCCAGCTCCATGCTCTGTGACTTCTCCTCCATGGCTGGAAATCAGCTGCAGGGGGAGTATTTACACCACAGTGCCACAAAGCAGAGGGTTGGTTTTTCTCCGCCCCCCCAGAGTAAATATTTCCCAATGCCGCTGCTGTAGCAAGCCCTTCTGTGGCAGGACAGGGTGGTGTCTGTCCATGGACCCAGCAGACCAGTTCAAGGTCAAGGTGAGGAACAGAGACAATCATTGGCTGTGCTTCTTACCTAGAGGATCATCTCAGAGAGGGCCGACTACTATAATCAGCTGAAGCAGAAGGGTGTCAAGGTGCCCCCCCTGCAACTGTCAGAGCATTCCCTGACCAACAAGCCCAAGAAGGTGGCCTCCAAGTAGGCCCACCAGGGCCACGGGACGCAGCCAGCCTGGCAGAGGCCAGGACCCAGCTCAGGAACCCCCAAGTCTCTCCCCACCCCTGTGTCCTGTTGACTCAGAATTAAACCATGGTCTTGGTGTGGTCTCACTGTTTTCTTCCCCAGAACCGACACAGGGGCTTACTCTCCTCTGTGGCCTTGGGCTACACCGACACCCCAGTTCCAAACACACTCGCTGGGGTCAGCACACCAGCCTGGGGAGACCCCAAACTGAGCAGGGTCCCCTCTGAGGTCCCAGGTTGCCGCAGGCCTAAGACTGTGTCCAGTCTAGTCACCAGACCTGGTCCCTCTGCTCCCGCACTGCTGCTCACACCCCTGAGCCACCCACTCTGTGACCTCCTGCCCCTGGGGCTCACTGGGACACTCTCTTGCTCACGGGACCCTTTAGGAAGAGGGTGTGGTGAGGTCAAGGAACCCCGTTCCCATTCATCTACCCTGGAAGGAAAGTGCCTCTGCTGGGACCATCCTCTGAGGTCACTGGTGCCTCCTGGCGTTTCCTGGAAGGCTCTGAGCACTTAATCACGTTCGGAAGGAAAAGTCACCCCCGCCTTCTTGGTGCTCCACCCACACTGGCCTCCTTCCTTCTCTGCAGTGACTGTGGGCAGTGAGCAGGTGCAGCCCCCTGCCAGTCTCCTGCCCTTCAGAGTCCAGGTCCCCGCAGCCCTGCCCTTGGTCTCTGAGAGGCAGCCCCATCCACACACTGCGCCAAAGGCCAGAGGAAGCCACGGAGCCTCCACATATCCCCAGGATTCAGACCCAGACGCCCTTGGAACCTCCTGGAGCCGGGTCCCCAAGGGGCTGGGGAGCTCGGGTCACCGGGCGGGGCTACAGCGGGGGTCGGGCTCCCTGGAGCCTGTTGGAGAACCCCGAAAGTCAGGTTCAAGTACCCAATACACAGAGAGCCGAACACTGACATGTTAGCGCCAGAAGACGGAAAGGCTTATTCGATTTGGCCAAGGCGTGAGGTGGGAGGAGAACTCCCAAACCCGACTTTTGCACGTAACTGGAGCTTTTAGGGACTTGTAGGAGCGAGGTGGGTGTGAGGGAGGCGAGGCCCCGGGGATCACTGCTGCTGGCGTCCCAGGCGCCCAGACGGTCTGCAGGACCTGAGAACCTTTGTTTTTCAAAAGCGAAACAAGTTCATTAATCTTGCGGGCAGCCCCCGGGGGTTAGGATGTGGAGACCGTCAATGACTAGTGACCACCCTCAACTGAAACTGCTACGTGCAAGCAAGCATACTCGGAGGAAGAAAGAGACAGAGAGGGAAGCAGTAAAACAAACACTTTTTTATAGGGCTTGGTTACAAGCCCGGGAGGGGAGCCCAGTCTGGGGACGGGAGAGGCGTCCTTTGCAGCCGCGCGCTGGGGTCTGCGCCCCCGCCCTCCGGCTCCGCCCTTAGCCTCGCCCCCAGCTCCGCCCAGCCCCTTTGGGACACGCATCCCTACTGACACCACCCCTTTCCAGCACGGCCCA